TGGTGTAAGGAAATGGTCCAGTTTCATTCTTCTGCATGTGGCTGTCCAATTTTCCCAACACCATTTGTTGAAGAGACTGTCTTTTTTCCACTGGATATTCTTTCCTGCTTTGTTGAAAGTTGTGCTTAGTTGTGCTTAGTTGACCATAGAGTTGAGGGTCCATTTCTGGGTTCTCTATTCTGTTCCATTGATCTCTGTGTCTGTTTTTGTGCCAGTACCATGCTGTCTTGATGATTACAACTTTGTAATAGAGCTTGAAGCCTGGAACTGTGATGCCACCAGCTTTGGTTTTCCTTTTCAACATTCCTCTGGCTATCTGGGGTCTTTTCTGGTTCCATACAAATTTTAGGATTATTTGTTCCAGCTCTGTGAAAAAAGTTGATGGTATTTTGGTAGGGATTGCTTTGAATGTGTAGATTGCTCTAGGTAGCATAGACATTTTCACAATATTTGTTCCTCCAGTCCATGGGTATGGAGCGTTTTTCCATTTCTGTGTGTCTTCCTCAATTTCCTTCATGAATGTTCTATAGTTTTCTGAGTACAGATCCTTTGCCTCTTTGGTTAGGTTTATTCCTAGTATCTTATGGGTTTTGGTGCAATTGTAAATGGGATTGATTCCTTAATTTCTTTCTTCTGTCTCATTGTTAGTGTATGGAAATGCAACTGATTTCTGTGCATTGATTTTATATCCTGTCACATTACTGAATTCCTGTATGAGTTCTAGCAATTTTCGGGTGGAGTCTTTTGGGTTTTCCACATAGAGTATCATGTCATCTGTGCAGAGTGAGAATTTCACTTCTTCTTTGCCAATTCAGATGCATTCCTCCGACTTCTAAATGTTGGAGTTCCCTAGAGCTTAGTCCTTAGGTCTCTTTTCTATGAATACTTTATAGTCTTACCGAGTCTCAGTCTCGAGTGTCATGATTTCAGATAATTTCTTTGTGTGGATATTGTTCAATTGATTGTATTCAACTTGGACTTCTCCCTTGAACTCCAGACTACATATTCAATTGTCTCACAAGAGCTCTACTTTCCCCAGATACTCCCTTCATTTCCTTCATGGGTGTGGTCAAACATCAACTTATCAGAGACCTTCCCTGACCAATCTACCAAATATAACTCTTTGCCCAAGCACTCCTTTTCCCCCAACCCTATTCCATTTTCCCCATAACATTTATCACTTGGCATGTTTTATATGTATATATAGGCATACATAAATATTTACATGTAAATATGTATACATAATTTACATATGCACATCTATACATGTATATAAATGTAAATATATGCCTATATGTATATAAAACATAATACATGTATGTGTAACATATGTAAACATAAATATTTACAGTACATAATATGTATATATACTTGCACACTTATATATCTATACATATGTTTTTTGTTTTTTTTTTTCCTCCTAGAACTTACTAGAATCTAAGCTCCATGAGGGTAGGCTCTTAGTGCCTACAGGAGTCCCTGGACTTCAACAACAGGCACTGAATGACTACATAATGGCATTCCAGACAATGTGCTTAATTCTGAGATATAGCCTATGTGAGAATTTTAGCAAAAACAAAACAAAAAGGACCTAGCCACCTGCCATTGTAAGAAATTTTAGGTTAATATCTAGATTCTGAATATTAGAAAGTTATCTTCCCTTGCCAAAGATCGAGTACTTGCAGTGAAGGGGAAAAACAGGTTATATAGATTTTGCGGAGAAAAGGCTACTAAACTCAAATTTTTAAATTTGCTTTATTCACCTAGATATCTTGTGCAATTCCTGGATTTTTGATGTTTTAAAGGATGTGAACAAAACTAATTTTTCTTGCTTCTGTCATTAACAAATCTCCAATTTTGAGGTATTTGGAAAAACCTCATGAGGCAGAGTTTGAGCTATTTCCTCACATCAAACCATTTTTTATAAACAGAAGATCCAATTTTTCTGATGCCTTAGGAACTCACAAGATTATTTTTCTAATTGATGTTAGATCCTGAGCCTGAAACTAACAGTGATTTTTTTCCATACATGTACTCAGACTCAAGTGTGGTTACAACAGATGGCAGCTGAAATAAATAAATAAGTCTTTGTATACAGTGGAATTACAGAGTTTGAAGAATAGTATAATCCGTCATCTACCACTGCTCACACTGTGTTAAGGATATATCATATTATTTGCGTTTATAAAAAAAGTACCACATCTCTTGCATCTTTGTACTCTTAAATGTATTGCTTCTTCTTCCTGGATGACCTTTCCTTTGATTTGATTTTACCTTCTCCAGGATGCTTCTCCTGATGTCCTTGCTCTAAATTTGAGCAATCTGTCTTTGTGTCTGAAAGACCTTTTGCATACTTTACAGAAATTATCACAATTTATTAATTTGCTAATCTCAGTCCCCTAAAATATTATTCATTTAAACAATAAAAGACACTGTCTTTTATTCCTGTGTTTCATTTGCATTGTATGGTGCCTGTCATAAGTAGGCGTTCTATAAATATTTGCCAAATGAATGAATGAATAACAGGTCTTTTCTTCTACTAGCCTAGCAGTGGAAACTAACGTTCTCCCAGGTTCTAAGCCCTTAGTTGAAATAACAGAAAACTGGGAAATTACTGGTCAGTCTTCCTTAATTCAATTTTTTTCTTAGTGCTCCTGTGTTTCTTTGTCTTGATAAATATACTCAGTGGACAACTGAGACCCTGAAAGCCTTTTGAAACTTTTGGAGAACATGTACTAAATAAAGCCAAGATGTACTAAAAGATGTCTACTTTTTATTCTATTTTGAACACATTTTTATTTTCAGTTATCAGTTCAAATGCTTTATTTCTTAAAGGTATTCTTTAACTAATTCAAATACTTCTATGTTCCACGTTAGGTATTCTAGCCTTAGATTTAAAACTCATTTTTCCTGAGTATATTTTCTCTTAAATATACAAAGGAATATATTTTCATAGAGTATGTTGAAAATTAGGAAAATCAAGGGTTCTGGTTCTATCAGGTGTAGTGTTTAGAGAGTTATTTTGATAGAATCCATTAGCTCTAATATGGCTTGAAAATACTTGCTCCCTTGGAGTATAACTGCAGGGAAAAAACTGTGGCATAGGTAAAAATTCACCATAATTACATGAACTGGTTTTATACATAATCATCTTAGGTTTTGATAGTGAGGTGGCTGTATGGAGTGTCTTTGGGTCCAACATACATGAAAACACAGGATTGCCAGGGTTCACACAAGGAGGAACTTGTTCAGGTTTCACTTCTGTGCCTGAATTTGAAGCTGAAGCACATTTCTTGTCCTAAAATATAAACACATCAAATTATTCTCAATTATAAAATTTTGGAAAAAAAAACAAAACTAAAGTTAGCATCAACCCTATCTTATACATATCATTCACAAAAATCAACTCAAAATGAATTAAAGACTTAAATGTAAGACCTGAAAGCACAAAGCTCCAAGAAAAGAACACAGGGGAAAGCTCTGTGATGTTGTTCTTGGCATAGATTTTTTGGATATGACACCCAAAGTGTAAGCAACAAAAGCAAAAATAATAAGCGAAACTGCATCAAACTGAAAAGCTTCTGCACAGCAAAAGAAGTAATCAACAGAATGAAGAGACAACCTACAGAATGGGAGAAAATATTTGCAAACCATATTGATAAAGGGTTAGTATCCAAAATATGCAAGGAGCTCATACAAACAATAGCAAAACATAATCTGATTAAAAACGAGCAGAGGACCTGAATAGACATTTTTCCAGATCAGACTGACAGATGGTCACCAGGAACGTGAGAAGGTGTTCAACATCATTAATGATCAGAGAGAAATGCAAATTAAAACCAAAATGAGATATCATCTCATGCCTGTTAGAAGGCTAGTGTCAAATAACAAGTGTTGGTGAGGATGTGAAGAAAAGGCAACACTTGTGCACTGTTGGTGGGAATGCAAACTGATGCAGCAACTATAGAAAACAGTATGGAGATTCCTCAAAACATTAAAAATTAAAATTAGTATTACCATATGATCCAGCAATCCCAGTTCTGGGAAGTGAAATCACTATCTCAAAGGGATATCTGCACCCCCATGTTCGTTGCAGTACTATTCACAATAATAGCCAAGATATGTCCATTAATGGATGAATGGATAAAGATGTAGCATACTATATTCTCACGTATACATACACACATGAATATTAATAATCCATAAAAAGAAGGAAATCCTGCCATTTCAAACATGGAGGGCGTTATGCTAAGTGAACTAAGTCAGACAAAGAATACTAGAATCTCACATATATATGAATCTAAAATTTTTAAAAAGTCAAACTCATTGAAACAGAAGAATGATGGTTTTTAGGGGGTGGGGGAAATGGAGAGGTGTTGGTCAATGAGTACAAACTTCCAGTTATAAGAAGAATAAGTTCAAGGGATCTAAGGTACAGCATGATGAGTATAGTTACCAATACTTTATTATATATTTGAAAGTTGCTAAGAGAGTAGATTTTAAATGTTCTCAGCACAGAAATAATTTTAATTATGTGAGGTGATGAATGTGTTAACCTTATTGTGGTAATCATTTCACAATACATACATACAAGAAATCGTGTAATACACCTTAAATTTACACACTGTTATATGTCAATTTCATCTCAATAAACCTGGAAAAAAACAAAACAAAAAAGCACGTCCACTTCACTTTTTCAGGAATTCTGTTCTCTTGAGGGCAGTGGCTAATCCTCATTAAATGACATAATATCTGTAGAAAGTAAACTTATCAAAAGTATGTATAAGATAGCTTTTAAAAATCCTGTACTGGAATCATGAGAATTTATAAAAACATTTGTAAATCATGGAGAAAATCTGCAAGAAGTCATAGCTAGAAGAGGACATACTGCTGAATTCTAGAATGAAAAGAAAAGATAAACATTTAGGGATTTTAGCCTTGTCGGCATAACCATTAAGCAAATAATTACACAACTAATAATTAAAATTGTAGTAAGTCCTATGGAGAAAAAAAAATACAAGATATTTATGAAAATTTATAGAGGATTCTAACCTAGTATGGAGGCTAAGAAAGGCCAATTTAGTGAAGTATCATTGAATCTAAGACTGGAAGGCCAGGAGAAGATAGAAGTGGGAACAAAGATAAACTCAGCATGGCCAAAGTCAAGTAAGTTAGGGTGAATATGACTGAGATGAGAATAAAGGGACAGAGGCCAGATCCTGAAGGGTCTTGTTGACTCTGTTAAAAATATGGATCTTTATGGTGAAAGCAATGGAAAGCTATTGAAGGGTACTAAGGAGATGCATGTCATTAAGTAACGAGTTTTAGTATAATTAATTTGGCTGCTGTTAGAGCCTTGAATGGATGTAGAAAGGAGCTACAGCAGTCCAAGTGACTGATGACAATGATCTATAGTAGGGTGGTGGTATAGAGAGGGAGATAAGTAAACAAATTTGAAATATATTTTGGAAGAATTCACAGGGTCTAGTGATTAATTGAATGTGGGTGGTGATGAGGGACAGATCAAGGATGACTACTAGGGTTCTGGACAAACATTGGGTAGCTGGTGGTGCAACTTACTACACTTTTTAATATATAAATTAAATATGTGTATATATACATATAATTTAATAGATACTTAAAATACAAGTAATTTAGCTATTTGGGGATGCAAGGGAGCAAGATATTCAAAAGAATGGATGCAAAAGTGCACATAGCTTTCTAGCACATGCATATAACATGCTTTATCCTTAGTAAAGTCAAGTCTATTAAAAACATCAAGCTTCATTAATGAAGATGAGAGAATTCAAATGGAACAGACTATATAAACTATTTATCATTCATTCACTGATTCAGCAAATACTTATTGAGTGCCTACTGTGTGCCACACGTTGTTAGATGTTGGAAATGCAGTGATGAATAATACAAAATTCCTAAGGCTTACAATTTATTATATCGAAGACAAACATACAGGAAACCAACTCAGTAAATGATGTTGGGAAACTAGATAGCTATTTTCAAAAATATATATCTTCGCCTTCAAATATTATCAAAATAAACTTCAGATGAATTAAATACACACTGACTAAAAATCACATTATAGAAAAACCAGAAACTAGGAGAAAGATATTTTTTTTTTTAAGA